GGGGCCCTCCCACCGCCTCCCTCCCGCTGGCTGGCCGGGGAGGCCTGTGCTGCCCTTCCAGACCCCTGCCTACTGCCTCCGCCCCCTTTTTTGAATATACAAGCCGACTTTGAACTCCGAAAGGATCATTTCTTGGGAAGCCCCAGAAGATGTGACCCACGCGGTGCACGTTCAGTCCACACCTAGGAATTGCCCGCGCCCCTAGAGGGCCAGAGCTCGGCCCTTTGTACTGTTCTGGCTCACGGAGTCGTGGGCGAATAGAGAATTTGCATTTGTGTCCCAAAGGCAAAGAGTAATTTACAGATTTGGGTGGACCCCCCCACCCCAAGCAGAGTTTTGCATCTTCCTGGATATCCAGGTTACTCCTCCCTAGGTATTACCGACTCTGGGCTTTGGAAAGTCCTTTAAGGCAGCTGACTGGGTTTTGTTTTGTTTTTGAACTGGCTTATGGACAGCGCCTTTGAATTTGGAAAATCCAGGTAATAGGTACAGTATTCTAGGCCAGCAAACCATTCCCACTATACTCAATTGGCTTCTCCTACCAACCCAGCTGAGTAAAAGTCCTGTCTGTTCTGACACTTCGGCTGACAGGAAGTAAACACCCTCCTTTGATTGGATGTTTGGGTGCTCCTGACTCTGGGGAAGGTCTGCTCCTCCAAGCACTGTTTAAAACCTCTTTCCTGCTAGTTTCAGCCCTGCCCTTGAGTCTTTACAAACCAGTCTGGCCTCTCTGCCACAGAAAGCTTCTAAATATTTGAAGGAAGCCAGATATGTTATCTACCCACCTTCCCTCTTATCATAATTAAATATGCCAGCTTTCAGCTTCCTGGTGGTTTCCCATCCTGCCCAGCCCCGACTGTTCCCTGCCTTCATTCCAGCCAGAACAGTTCTCAGAGCTAAGGAGGTTTTTGGTTGCTGAGCCTTCCTCACAGGCTTTCACGCTGACACCTGCTCTGTCCACACCCAATCTTGCTTGCAGAGATGGAGTCTGCAGCCTGTCCTCTCAATGTGACCCTGAAGGAAGAGCTAGAGGAGGAAGAGATTCGGAGCCGGGAACTGGAAGATGGCCCCACAGATATGCAAAAGGTCCGAATCTGTTCAGAGGGTGGATGGGTAAGTAAGAAGGTGGGCTACTCACAAGGTGAGGAACTCACTGAGGAGCCGGCTTGCTTCAGTCTCCTCGGGCAGAGAAGTAAAAATAGCGCAGTCCTTGTGTGTTTGCATTCCTGAGAAAACAGCCCTGTGGCTTTAAAAGGCAGTGCAAAGAATGATGAATGGCGGAGGTGGTTGTGGGAACAGGCCCTTCAGCCTTGAGACTTTCTGTCATCAGCTTGGACATCTCAGAAGCTGAGACCTTGTCCTGGTCTTTCACCTGTTTCTCCCTACACCTTGCTGGATGCCACGCCCATTGTCACTACCAAACAAATGTGCGCAGACTTTCTGGGGCTGAAGGCAACTGTTTTAAATAAGACTTGGGTCACTGAGCTGAAATGAGGAGGAGCGAGGCTTATAATAGTTCTCCCAGGTGGACTGCGTGTCGCCCTGGCCTGGAATGAAATGGTGAGCAGCCAGGAACAGGGATATTTAGCCTGTGCGAAGAGAAAAGTGACAGAAGTAAAATAGAGTACATGGATGGGAGTGGAACAGCCACCTCCAGTTGTGTATAGTTATCCATAGTAGTTACTGAACTTCATGGAGCGTGAATATGAACTGTGAATGTTTTTAATAAGCAACACATCGGCCTTCCTCAACCTTATCAGTGTTGTTAACGCATACGATCCCTTCTTTCCAAGAAGAGGTCCCAATTCGCAGAACCCTGCCATTTCCCAGTTATCCCATCTACCCTGCTCCCACGTGAGGGGACTGGAGCACGGAAAACTCATCTGCTTTGCCCCGAGTACACAGGTACACGGACATTTGTTCATAAAAACAGGCCTCCTGAGCTGTACTCTTAAAAGTAGTGCATTTTATTGTGTGTATATTATACCTCAAACAAACAGTGCCAAAGCCAGGCACTGGGACTGCCGTCTGGCCGTGGAGGCTGTACTTTGTCTTAGCAGTGTTCTTTGCCCCCCCTGTCCTCGTCCCCGGTCGCATCCAAGCAGGAGTCAGTACCATCTGTCTGGAAGCCAGACCACAAGCAGTGGAAACCCTGGGCTTTGAGACTAAATTGGGCAGTGCAGAACACCTAACGGGAGCAGAGAGCCATGGAAAACAAGTGCACTTGCACTGGAAGTGGCTATCTGAATGTTGGGGCAATGAGAAAAGAGCCAGGTGAAGACCACGCTTGAGCCCGGAAACCACAAAGTGGCCAGGGCAGCTGAAGGAGGAAGCCAGACGTCTTGACGGTGCTGGGGATTTTGCACTTGTGGCCTCTAGGCCGTCTGCCATCCATGTGCTGCTCCCTGGGGTTCTGGGTGTTAGACAAGATCCCTGCCCTCATGGAGTTCATAATCTCGTGAGGAGGACAGGGAAGTAAACAGAGTTCATCATTCCACCTACGGACTGCAGTAGTGAACATTGGTACAGAATATTCCAGCAGCCAAGAGTGAGGAGGCCTTGCTCAGACCAGAGCACACATATCCTAGAGAAGGCTTAGTCTCCAGCACTGCAGTATTTTGTCCCCTTCCAGCCCTGGAACATTTAGCGACATCTAAAGACACTTTTGGTTTTGTGATTTGAAGTGGGGGTTGGGGAATGTATTTAGGCCAAGGATCTACCTACACATTTATAATGCACAGCACGCCCCATGCATACACCACAGAGAATTAACTTTGTAGTGCGAGGTTAAGGAAGACTGCTCTAGAATATTAAATTAGAGGAAGGAAAGAATCGAATCTGTATTTAAAAGCTGTATTTTGGTTGTAGAGAGTTATGCCAGTGATCAACAAAGCCATTCAAATGTAAGTACTATGTTCTATATAGGAGTAAAACTCCATAGAATTGGAATAGGAATACGATTTCAGGTACAAAAAAGTGTACTTTGGACTGAGTCATGAGTGGAATGAGCTGAAGGGAAAGGAGGGGGTTTGCACTGTGTACAGAGTTCGGAATCGCTCCGGAAGCAGGAACCTGAGGCACCAGGCAGGGAGTAGCAAAGGACAAGCTGCTCAAGTAGGCCAGGCCAGGGCCCAGCACCAGCCATGAGTGTGGTGTGCTGTGCTGAATTTGACCTCTTGAGAAAAATTAGTCCTTGTCCCGTCTTTCTAAGAGAAGCCTCAGGCTCCCTTACAGTTGTGTATAGTTAGCCATAGTAGTTACTGGACTTCATGGAGCTTGAATATGAACTGTGAATGTTTTGCATAAGCAACAAATCAGCCTTCCTTGGTTCAGTTTTCCAGCACAGGCTTGGGAATGAGACTCCAGCTCCCTGACTGTGGGCATACTACTTGGCCACTATTCCCTCACCCACAAACATGGGGTAGTGAGCCCCACATCCTTAGCATATGTTAAGGAGTCCAAGAGAGATCAGTAGATAAACTGGAGGGCCCTGTAGAGTGCCCAGCACATAGCAAGTGCTCATACATACTACATGCTCACTTCCCTCGGATCCCGTGAGGCTATGCAGTTACCCTCAGAAGTATTAGAACACCAGCCTCCTGGCAGAGTACTTGACCTAAAGGAAGAACATTTCTCTGCTGAGCCCTTGATCTTCTGACAGAAGGAAGTGGGCGGGAATGGAGGCCCCCACCTGGAAGGCCAAGAAAGGATGTCTGGGGGCTGACTGCAGATCTGACCTCTCCATTCTGCCCCTGGCTGGCCCTGTTTACCTTCTCCTGCGTTCGGCCAGATAAAAGGCTTCTGTGGCGCCCAGGGAGGCCCACATGCCTGCTGGAACCTGGCAGTCCACAGAGCAGCTGGGAGGGGAGTTTCTAAGCACTGCCCTGGGCGTCCGGCACATAATGTGGGCTTGTCTGAAGATCCTCTGTGACTCAGTCACTAGGAGATGAATGCCACCCAGCCTCTAGCTTCCTTCTCATTACCTCCAGTGCTCGTGCTACCTAATGCTTTTCTAGAATGTGCCACCCTTTCTGCAGTGACCAGTGTAGCCCAGCTGTGTGGTGTCTTATCAGCAAAGGGAAAGAGGTTATAAATAGGTATGGCCTAGATCTGGAATTTCCCAGGGAGAGAAAAGACCAAAGGAAGAGTTGTTTCAAAGCTTGTGAAGTAAGAAAGCGGGTGGAAAATGCCTGGGCTCTCATCGTTTTCTAGATTGAGGAAGAAATCTTGAGGAAAGCCCAGACACCAATCCATTTTTACCTCGTAGTATTTCACACTTGGAGATTTTTGTCCATTCTTACTCCAAAGCATTGGCTCGGTTTTATGACAGATAAAACTTAATGATTCTTTGAAACAGTTCCAAGTGCAGCAAGAGAAGGGAAATCCAGAGATCGTTTGCGTAGATCATTCATTCAGAAATATTGCAAATGACTGCCAACTACAAGAAGCACCCTAGGCTTAGGGAAGCAAAGTCCAGGCCCTGTCCGCAGCAAGTTCTCCTTCTAGTGGAGAGGTTGAGTAAGGAAAAGAATACTGCAGTGCCACAGCTGCCAGCACGGTTTTGAGCCCATGTGTCATTTGCTGGCAGCGAGGACAGAAGAGGTTTCCTGGGGAGTAGGATGGCTTGCTGAGTCTTGGGAGATGGGTGGGTGTTAGCCAGCCCCAGAATGCGGAGGACTTCTGAGGCCCAGGGAGAGGAATGGTCAGAGAGGAGCAGATATCCCCGAATGACAAGCAGCAAGGAGCAGCCGCAGCAGAGCGGTGGTGGAGAGTTGAGGGCAGTCACACTAGGGACAGCTGTGCTCTCCGTAGCCAGAGGCTCGGAATCACGATGCTGGACTTGGCAGGTGTCAGCTTTGTGTGACTTTAACTTGGAAATGAGACCTTTCTGAGCCCATTTCCTCCTTGAATCACCCGGGGTGTATCTGTTCCTTCCCAGGGTTGTTGGGGGAAATCAGTGAAGCAGTTGCAGGCCCTTTCCTAGTAAGTGCTCCCTGCGTGGAAGGTGCTCTGGGTGAGGGTTGGAGATGGGTGAGCCTCTTCGGGTGAAGGACTAGAGGGCAGTACCTACGTGATGGACGATTGGCGGCCTGACCCCGACCAGTCTGCAGGCTGTAGAAACTTTAATTTCCCGATCCTGAGGAAGAACAGTATAAACCTGAGACTCGTGGTGAGCTTTGGGGACAGCTGTGAAGGCCAGTTTACAAAGTGACTGGGCTAACCAAGCTCTCTGATGGTTTCTTACCACTCAATATGGTCCTTTTGGAAGTAGGACTTTTAGAAGAAGAGCAAAAAGGAAAGCAAATCAGACTTTAAAAGGGGGATTAGATTTGGTGCCTTGGCTGCCTTTAGCTAGCGGGGCATCCCCTCCTGCTCAGGACAGGAAGGCGGAGTGGGATGGAGTAGGGGTACAAAACGTGGTTGACCTGGTCTAGGCATCATGGCAGATGCACCTGTGCCAGCCTCTCATTTCATAAATCAAGCTCTAATTAGCCCCTCTCAGAGCTTTGGGTTCAAGTTAAACACAAGAGTTAATGCCCTTGGATATGGAGTGTCCCAGAAAACCACAAAGATCCCATGGGAAGTAGCAATCTTTTCAAATTCCCCAACCCCGCTCCTCCCTTGGGCTGAGGGTCTTCAGGCTGCCGGTAGGGGCAGATTGTGTGGAGTGGGGTGCAGCTGCTTCTTCTGGGTGTGGCTGGCCCCTGCCTGTGGAGTCTGGAGTAAAATGCGAGCTGCTCTCATGCAGTGCATGAGGAGGGGCTCCGACATCCAGTGTCCCCCAGCCTAGTGATGGGCAGTAGATGAGATTTGTTCTCAAAGTGCTGCTCACTGTATTCGGGCACTGAGGGAGTGGGATCTCCTGTGGTAGGCACAAGGGAGCTTTGTCCTCCTGCCCTGTCTTGCCCCCAGCGGCCACAGGAATATGGATAGAGCTTTTCTTGTGACAGACCTGCCCTGCGAGAGGGAGGAGAGGAGGGAGGACCCTGCAGCTCACCTGAGGAGACCCTGCGGGTTCTGATAGGCTATGTCTCCCTGTGCCTGTGAGCCTTGACAGTCCTATTCCTGTTCCAGGTACCAGCCCTGTTTGATGAGGTGGCCATATATTTTTCCGACGAGGAGTGGGAAGTTTTAACAGAGCAACAAAAGGCTCTGTACCGGGAAGTCATGAGGATGAATTATGAAACTGTCCTGTCCCTCGGTAAAGCTTTGTTTTCCTTTGTCTCTTGCCAGCTCTGAGCCCTGAGAGTTGTTTCCATGCCTCTGTTCCCTGATGTATCCGACAGCCTTCTCTCCTGAACTTGGACTCTCTCCCCTTCATACCTGTTTCCGTTCCATTTCTTGCTTTTGACTTAGACAGGATATAAATACTGTATCTTTCTACACAGTGACTTATTTTGCCTCTTAGAACTGTCCCTATTTAATCCAGGCATTCACATTTTTTGTTTTTTATTATAGACCTGGATATGTCTGTCATCCCAGCACTCTGGGAGGCTGAGGCAGTAGAATTACAAGTTTCTGCCCAGCGGGGCAACTTAGCAAGACCCTGTCTCAAAATAAAAAATGGAAAAAGGGATGGGAATGTAGCTCAGTGTGAAGGCCCTGGGTTTAATTCCCTTTACTGAAAAGAAAAAAAAGAATATAACTGTAAAAATGTCACCATGGATCTAGGTCTATGCTTTGTTGGGAAGGAAGGCAGGCCTCACTGCAACCCTGTCAGCCTCAGTAACCTGGAGACATAGCCTCAAAGGGTACCCCTGCCCTGACGTTTGTATCCCCCATTTATTACAGTATAACCATTTGAAGGAGTTTTTGATCAAAAAATGTTCGCTGGATCAGTGGCTGCATCTACCCAGCCTGTCTGCTGAATGCCATTCTTTTGTTGTCAGTCCCAGTCTTCACTAACAGAAATCCAGAAATTTCCTTGGACAGACCTGTTTCCTATCCTATTTAAAACAAGTATTTTCCCGCTTTCACAAGATCTTTTCACGCAATTATAAAGTGCAGTACTTGTTTTAGTTTTGTTCCAGGACAGAAACACGCAGCTCTTACCTGTTCTATTTCCCATAAACAGAATTCCCATTCCCTAAACCGGACATGATCAGCCGGCTGGAACGGGAGGAGGAGTCTCAAAATTCTGATGAGTGGCAGCTCCAAAGAGCAACCTTTGCAGGTACTACAAGGGAATCACTTCAATGTCCATCTGAAGGGGATTGTTCTGAAACTGGATTTTCAGTTCCCATTTACATTCTGAGGGGTATTCAGAAGGAGGTGGGGCTGTGAGACTCAAAAATTATGGGCTTTGGTGTTGAAACATCGCTCAAAAGATGTCTAAAAGGCACCTAATCCTTTATCAACAAAAATGGTGAGGAGAGTAGCAGTTAGATAAATAAAGCATAGCTTCCAGATAGCCAAAATAGCTTTATCTGTGATTTTCTCTGTAGGTAAGAACTTAAAATGCCCTGGTTTATTGATTCTAAGACAGGTTTTTTCCCTACCACTCTAACAATTCTGAAATGGAAAATGCCTCTTAAATTTGATGGCTTGTGATAATTACAGTCAGTGACAGTTTTTTTCTTTTAATGACACAAAATTATGCATCCTACAACTGATGGTATTTTCATTTTGATGAGACACAGTATTTTCCTCAAATCGTATTCAATTTCTATGATTATCTTTCACATGTAAACAAACCTATAATAAAAGTAGTTCTAACATTTGGTGGGCAAGAACCAATTTCCTGTCTTATAAGCTTAAATATTAACATTGCTAATGTGATTTTTGCTATAGGTGGCCTTAATTCAAGGGATAGGAGTTAGCCCAAGGCACAGCCAAATCTATGTAACATTAGGTGATAGTATGGATTACCTGTGGCTTCTCATTCACAAAAACATTATTTTGACCCCAATATGACTTCTAATGCTTTGGGTCCAAGCATGACACCTGTGTCCAGTTCCACTGAAAGTTCTCTGCCCGTTCCTAGCTTGGCACTTGCATTTCATAGGCTCTGTCACCTCCCTTTCCTCATCTGCAAAGAAGGGATAGTGATGCACACAGTCACTGGAAGAATTCCATTTGGTGATGCACATAAATTGGCACATGGACAAGGACTGAGATGGTTACTTATTATTAAAGTTAGGACTTTTGGTGAGCCTCAGGTTAAGCATTTTTGGCCCAAAGTCTCAAATGACCATTGTACTTAACTGGCACTGTTTTTGTTCTTTCCTCTCTGTCTCCCAGAAAATGAAGACTCTGACCTTAAGCCCGCCGACTGGGCAAGCCCCATGCATACTGCCTCCCAGTTTCCCCCACCCCAGCACCTGGACAGATTCAGCCTGCGTCTGCCTCGGTGCATCACAGAGCTGCCAGAGTGGAGTGAGGGTTACCCCTTCTACATGGCCATGGGGTTCCCTGGGTATGACTTCTCAGCCGATGACCTGGCTGGGAAGTTTCAGTTCAATCGAGGCATGCGCCGAAGTTACGATGCTGGATTCAAGCTGATGGTAGTAGAGTATGCCGAGAGCACCAACAACTGTCAGGCTGCGAAGCAGTTCGGGGTATTGGAAAAAAATGTTCGAGACTGGCGTAAAGTGAAACCACAGCTCCAAAACGCACATGCCATGCGGCGGGCATTCCGAGGCCCCAAGAACGGGAGGTTTGCCCTGGTGGACCAGCGTGTGGCTGAGTATGTCCGGTACATGCAGGCCAAGGGGGACCCTATCACCAGGGAAGCCATGCAGCTGAAAGCTCTGGAGATTGCCCAGGAGATGAACATTCCAGAGAAAGGGTTCAAGGCAAGCCTGGGTTGGTGTCGGAGGATGATGAGGAGGTATGACCTGTCTCTGAGGCACAAAGTGCCCGTGCCCCAGCACCTGCCTGAAGACCTGACTGAGAAGCTCATCACATATCAGCGCAGCGTGCTGGCTCTGCGCAGGGCCCACGACTATGTGGTGGCACAGATGGGAAACGCAGATGAGACGCCGATCTGCTTAGAGGTGCCATCTAGGGTGACTGTGGACAATCAGGGTGAAAAGCCTGTCTTGGTGAAGACACCGGGCAGGGAGAAACTGAAGATCACCGCGATGCTGGGTGTCTTGGCTGATGGGAGGAAGTTACCTCCGTACATCATTTTGAGGGGGACGTATATCCCCCCTGGGAAGTTCCCCAGTGGGATGGAGATCCGCTGCCACCGCTACGGGTGGATGACGGAGGACTTGATGCAGGACTGGTTGGAAGTAGTGTGGAGGCGGAGGACAGGAGCTTCGGGAACTATACCCAAGCAGCGAGGGATGCTGATCCTGAACGGCTTCCGGGGCCACGCCACCGACTCAGTGAAGACCTCCATGGAAAGCATGAACACCGACATGGTGATCATCCCCGGGGGCCTGACCTCGCAGCTGCAGGTGCTGGATGTGGTGGTCTACAAACCACTCAATGACAGCGTGCGGGCCCAGTACTCCAACTGGCTTCTGGCTGGGAACCTGGCGCTGAGCCCCACAGGGAATGCCAAGAAGCCTCCCCTGGGCCTCTTCCTGGAGTGGGTCATGGTTGCATGGAACAGCATCTCAAGTGAGTCCATTGTCCAAGGGTTCAAGAAGTGCCACATCTCCAGCAACTTGGAGGAGGAAGATGATGTGCTGTGGGAAATTGAGAGTGAGCTGCCTGGAGGGGGTGAGCCACCAAAAGAATGTGACACTGAAAGCATGATGGAAGGCCACTGAAGGACAAGTTCAGGTAACTGGCCAGCAGTAGATGCTCAGTGTCTTCGCTGAAGGACATTTGTGTTCACACTCGCCTCTCTCTTTTCCGTTTGTCTGTTGTCAGGTTGTCTCAGAGCCTGCGTGACAGAGGTGTCATATAGGTAAAACACCATCCGTATTTTCAGATTGCTTGGCTTACTTTGTGTACAGTTTGTGGCCTGGACCCACGAGCGCTTGGAATATATGTAAAATGAGCACAGGGTAAGCTGCCAGAACATTTCATCTGAAAGTGCTAACACTGAGAGAGCTTAGTCAAGAAAGCACCCTTCAAAAAAATTTGTTTGGAAAGATGAGTTTTTTTCTTTCCCTTATAAATCATGCTGAACGTTTACGGCCAGGAGGACCAAGGAAGGCAGTAGTGTGCTCTGGGCCTCAGATCTCTGCCCTGGGGTGTTCTACACTGTTGACCCCAGGGAGATGCAAGTTTAGCTTTCGATTGCTTTTCCCCAGGGTTTTCCATCATCTTCGTGTCATATTCACCTTCAGGTGGAGCGAGCAGTTATGGTGACTTCCTGTAGTGAGCAGATGTCTTGAAGGTGTTTTTAAATTGAATCATTGCACCGAGGGTTAAAATAACAGTGTGTACTTAGGACTACAGTGAGTAAAGTTTGAAGGCTGAGAATGACAGCACTGAGTTGAGAGCCACCCCCAGCAAAGGAGCGTGCGGCCTCCACTCACCACCCACCCCCACAACCCCCAAGAGAGCAGGAGTGGCCACGGGAGTGGGAGACAGGAAGACAGCCTGCTTTAACCCCCTCAGTCTCATTTCCCTAATTATTATCCAAGTACTCTGTGTCTCTAGACTTTTAACATGGATGAGGCCATGCCTTTAACACAGGGCCTGAAACCATCTTGACACCTTTTTTCTGTCCTAAAGTATAATTAGGTGTTTGCATGCTACCTTTTCCTGCAAAAGAAATGCTAATATGAATCTTCTTCCAGCCCACTCTGCTGTATAAGCATGTCTGTGTGAAAGTGTGACTTACGCCTTCCTTTGGCCCAAATCAAATTGTACTCATATCACTGAATTCAATTCAGTCCCGAGATCACTTGATTACAGTAGAGCAAGTTCTTATTCTTATGCTCAAAATCACTCAATTTTTTTTTCTTTCATGTCCCCCCTTTCAAAAATCTTGTGAATTCAGCCTTCCTTTTACACTAATCCTTATACTACCTCCAGTGATTATCAAACTTTGGATTAGCTCGTTAAATCATTTCCTGTTTTTAATTTCCCGCTCCTTGTTAGACAACATTTTTGAGAATTTTCAATTTTCTACACTGTTTCCTAAACAAAGGACCAGATCACTCAGAAAAGGAGAGGGAAGATCTGCTGAGCTACAGCCATGAGCTTCTGTCCCCTATCCGCATGAACTCTTGCGCCTCTAGAAAGGCACCGTCCTCTGGGGATGGAAGTGAATGAGATGTAGGAGATACCCTGGCACAAAACCGCCTCGTCATCTATCTGAAAATCTAATTAATAGAATTACTCTTATTAAAATACCCAGAAAGCCAAGGGTTAATTCACGCTTAGGTTCTATCTGTTTTCCAGCAAATGGATCTGTGGTGGAAACAGTTGGGGAGGAGAATCCTCAAGATTATCCCTGAAAGTACAGATTCACAGGAGCAGTAGGAAAAGCAACTGGGCTCTGAACAGCAAGCGGCCTGCACCATCCATCCAGGGTCAGTCCCACTGCCTCCACCCTGAAAGGTGGCAACAATGTTTTAAGATCCTTCATTTCAAGGAAGACAAGATGAGAAAAGAAACTTTCTGCCCAGTTTCTTGTTTTAGAGATTCACCCATCTGTCCATCAGAAGAAACCTGTAAATATGAATGAACAATGGTGTTTCTTGGAGAAGAGGCCATTTGGTCAATACCAACCAGACTCGTGGTGTGGGCACAGCTCTCATGGTGTCCTTTCTGTGGAGAAAACTTCAAGTATACGTTTTATTCTGCCTTTGAAAATGCTTCCAGAAGTAAAACCTGTCCCCTCGCAGGTCAAAACTACAGAGAAGCCTTGGTAGAAATGAGTCACTTACGTACACCTGCTACTTACACATCTCTTCTAAGATAATCAGATGCTAATGATAACAGCAAAATTAAGACACACTGGCCTGGCACCAGCAGATGGCTTTTCTATAGACAGACTAGACTAGTGTGGAAGATACAGGTTAAAATGAGCTCTGCTGTTCTTTTCATCATCCCAATCTGGTTGGCAGCTAGACTTTTTCAGGGTCCTGTTTAATAGCCCTTTTTTTTTTTCCTTTGTATTTAATGATCGGGCAGCAATAGCCCACAAGCTCTTCTGTTTTCCTAAGCTGCCTGCAGAAGTCACTATGAATTATCTGCTGTCTTCATGGGACATGGCTCGCTGACTCATCTGCTTGTTTAGTTGATTTCTTTAACATTTCTATCACAGGGCAGTAAGAGGACTTGACCCTTTAGCCACAGCTGTTTCAAGACTTCAGATCTTCTACCCTGAAGGAGTAAGTGGGAGGTCATCAAAATTTTACACAGTAGTAATCTGCATTCCCATGTTGGTTGAGTGTTATGAAAACATTCCTTCAAAGCTGTCTGTGCTACAAAAACATTTGCCAGAACCTCAGACCAAGCGGTTGCTAGAATGTCATTCCAGTGTCGAGTCTGGCTAACAGGCTGCACAACCACTCTTCCTTCCCATTGACTCAGCTCACGTGTATATTATAAACTGTTCTTGGTATCTTGAACACCTATTTCTACTCAGGTACTCCTTTTCCTGTTAATACTTTAACTTTCTGATCTTTTTAAACTAGCTCCCCACTTCACATGCTTGCGGGGGGCAATTTTTCTTCTCTGTATCCAAATAACTTTCATTATTAGAATTGTTTCCCCTTTTGCCTTTTCCGTTAACTGTATTCTTGGTCATCCAAAATTAGCATCTTATCCCTGTTACTTTCCATTCCAGAAGTTTTCATTCCCTCCACTTCTACCTTTTTCCTTCTACTGTCCTAGTTCTTGGCCCTTTTCTTCTTCATGTCTTATTTCTCTGCTTTGAGAGCTTGAAAGATGCTACAAGACTTAATTTTGGACTCCTGTGTGGAAGCTAAGAAGAGTAGAAAATGGGTTTAACTCGTTTTATTCCACAACATCTCCTGAGTCTCAACTTCAGCTGAGAGATGATGCCTTACAGGTTGCATAGCACCGGAACCTTCCTAGAGCAATGGCTCTGCTGTCAGGGTCTTCTGGGTTCACCCTTCCAGACCAAGATGATCTATGCCTAACAGAGCCCCAGTACAACTGTTATACAGAACGGCTATTACCCTAGAGTACTATAGCACACTGAGACATAGTTGTATTCCCTAATAGGTAGGAACTGACCCGATAATAAACTTTGATAATAAAGATAATAGACTGTAGTGGCTTTATTTACCTGCTAGCATTGTCTAATTACCTTTTAAGCTATTGTCTATACTATATTCTCCATCTCTTTGGTGCCAGTTATATTTAAATTAAATAAAAAAGTGCATGGGATACAATGTTGGTGTCTTTACAAAGCAAAGAAAATGGAGTGGTTTTAAATTGGCTTATAAAGGTAACGAACTCTTAGCATATATTTCTTTTCCTCAAATCAGTTGTGGTTCACATGCTGTCAGGGATGGTTACCAAAATTACATGAAGAGAATCTGTAAAGGTTTTTAATTCAGCACTGGGGATTTAGCTCAGTGGTTCTGGCCCTTGCCTCACAAGGACCTGGGTTCAATCCTGGTACCAAAAAAAGAAAAGGTTATTCAGTTATCACCTGAAACATGCTGAGTTGATGGATAAAAAAATTAGTACCCTACTTCCTTAAAAGTCTTTAAAATTGGAAGCACAAAGCCAAGCCCGATAGTACACTCCTGTAATTCCAGCATAGCGGACAAGGATCACCAAGGCCAGCCTCAACTATGTAGCAAGACCCTGACAACAACAACAAAAGCCCCGAAAGTGTTGCGAACCCAGGAGCTGCTATACAGAGCATTGGTAAACTTAGGCTTTGTAATATATCATGTCCATAACTCAAGTAGTAATTACTGTCCAAGAATGATGTAGACGTTTTTATTACTCATTTTTAAGCAAGCAGAATCAAATGCTACCAGTCTGCTGGCCCCACTCTCCTAAGACTAAGCCTGTTTACCCATTTCCTTCCTCCCAGAAGCATCTTAGGACACAGAGTGTTCATCTATGGTTAAAAGACGGTAATCATTTACAAGATAATCTGGGAACATCCCAGTGACCACAGCTGTTGGGTGATAAAGGTTATGGAATAAGATGTATGCTAAGCCAGCCCTCAGTCTCCCCGATAAAGTGAGGCAGGCCTATCAACCCTCATTTTGTGGTGATAAACCTGTAGCTAAAAAACAAGTATTCAAATTCCTGGAGAAATAACCTGCAATAACTGAAATTATCTGATATCTAACAGCCTTTTTTCTGATTGAAATATTTTTCTAAATGACGCTTGGGAGTAAGTACTCATGATTTCTTAATTACAGAAGGGATGGCATGTAGGGTCCCACAGCTGGCAATGCTGTCAGATGCAGCCAGTCTTCAGTGGAACAATTTCAAATCTTTTTCAAGGTCAGGCCGGGTCGGGAGTAGTGGAATTTCCTCTGCTGCAGACCCCTATGGAGCCTGCCACTGCAACGGTAGTGAGACATGGTCAACTTGGGGGATTTACCTCATGCTCCTTGGGCACCGTTAAGGCCCAGGTGTGTGGCGGTGTGAAACAAAACCACTTTATTCATTTGAGTATCTGTTCAGATTCTTCCAAACTCAAACTTCTTGAGGGTTATCTCACCTAAAATTCTGAAGAGCACATCTCAAGAAAAACTAAGCTGCTGATTTTTCTTTTTAGTCTTACTCTACACATCACAAAAAAGAAATGGCACACCTTAAGAGGAATCTGCCTTTCAGTCCTCATCTAGTATATTTGTTTGAAAAGTCCCCACCACAGTCTCTATTTCTGTGCAATGTACTATTCCTTTTATGTTTACTTTAACAAAATTTTCTCCCATAACATTTATTTGTCACATTTAAAATACAAAATCAAATACACAGATCCAAATATATGAACCATATATACATATCTATTATTTAGATCTACATAAACCCATCTATACATTCTAATTTATCCATCAACACTATGAGTGAAAAGCAACAGATCTAAGAAAACAGCTGGTTATCAATAACATTGTCAAATGTAAATAATTTTCATTTTATGACTTGAAAGGATAGAAACAGCTATTTCAGAGGAACAGAATTACCAAGCATAAATCCTACTTGTTCATACAGGTATCTTACCACTTCCTATAGGAATTAATACATAAGCCTGTCAGAGTCTTTGGACAGATTAACGCTTAAAAAAACAACAACAAAAAACTTAGTTATAAGAACACATTTATAAGATCAATTGTATTCAAAGATGTTTTTGTTTCAATTTTGGTTTTAAATGCAAAGAAAGGGTTTGATTTTTAGTCTTAAGAGCACATTTCCAAATCATTTTCTATAAAGATTAACTGTCTTTTTAGGGACTATTTGTACCTGTTAAAAATTAAAATGGAGGGCTATGGATTTAGCTCAGTGATTCCACCGCCTGCCTCCCAAGTACAAGGTCCCAAGTTTGATCACTGGTACCCCCCCCAAAAAAAATTAAAAAGGGTCACTAAAGGACGTATCTGATTTTTAACACTATATAGGTTATTTCAGCCAAAATGCATGAGTATAGTTTTTCTGGAGGCAGAAACTTCTAAGACTTGCCAGATACAGAGTATATGATGTCACTGAGCACACCAATGTCCCACTACTGCTAATCACTAGAACTGCGCTGTAACAGCGTTTTCATCCTAGGATGTCATCTATCTTTCATGCAGACCGTAGGACACTAAACCTCAGATGCCTAAACATCCCCATTCCAGGCACAGAACTCCTCTAATGCCTGCTCCCATAACTGGGAACAAATACATACAAACATGGGTCATTATCTGTTAGATTTATAGGAAATGAATGGCTTCATAGTAGCAACACAAAATGTACTCAATGTCCTATTTCCATAGGAAAGGTTATTTATACACTATACACTTCAATCTTGAAATGTGAACCCGAAAACCTTCAACTTTCAATGATCAGTGAATCTGATGAGGGTCCCACACCCTCAAACCCTAACTCAGCAGAGTGAAAGCCCTTCCTTGGCTGCCAAGCGCTGGCGGTGGACTTTGTCTTGCTGTAGCTCTTCGTGATTTGGGTGCCAGAGCTTCATGATGATTCTTTCAATGTTAAGGGCATACACAGTATGTGTTGGAATGACTTCCCTGTGCACCTGGGATTTAAAAATGCACGTCTTCAATTATTCTTTAGTACACTTATTTTTCTAACAAAAAAATGAAACTAGGTTTATACCAACAAAACAGACATATAACCTGTAAACCTTAAATCAGAACCTAATGAATCCCAAATGAGATATTAAAACGAGGAGATAGTTTCTAAAATAGGACTGAGGGAACAAAGGGATTGTTTATCCTCTTTCTCTTTTTTTTTAAATTAGATAGAGAGAGGATAAGGAAGGTAAACACAAAGGACACCTGCATTCGGGATTTGGAAAATAAGGCTAGAATTAATGGTTTTAATAATGAACAATAAAATATGAAAAACAGCCAAAGAGTAGGAAAAAAACTAGTGAGTATTTTTGCAAACCGGAAGAATTTTTTTTTTGACAGGGTCTCACTATGTAGTAATTCAGTCTACCCTTGAACTCACTATGTAGCCCAGGCTGCCCTCAAACTCAGAGATACTGTGGCCTCTGCCTCCCAAATGCTGGGATTACAGGCGTGTAGCACCACACCCAGCTCTGAAGAATTTCTTAACCTGTCCATAAATCCAGATAAACTTTAAGGAGTCAAGAGTTACCTGCAAAGCTTCAAAAAGGTCATACATGTTCACTGGAGGCAGAGATGCAGGCAATGTGTCCCCAGAGCAAGCCAGTAGGAGCGCAGCCTGCTGCTCAGTGTCATCAGCGGGTGGGTGAGAAGACAGACTGTGACTGGCACAGGGAGCAGAAAAGGCTGGCGGGCTGAAAAGGAAATCTGAGAAATAGTTCCAGCAAGTACAATGGAGAAAACTGAGTAATAGAATACAGTGGTTTGCTAGAATGCATTTTATTAACAGTGCCTTTCAACGCATTAGAGACCCATTCAATGTATATCTAATTCAACTTTTTAAATTTAAATTTTTAAAGCCAGCCTATTACACTAGAAATGAAGTATAATCAACTACATTTACTCAGCTTCCTCCATAATGTTAAAATAATTTACTTAGCCAGCATACTGATTCAAAACTGTTTCCTGCTCTTAAAGATCTTCCAATTAAAAAAAAAATTAATAGGATCCTATAGCAACGTGAAACTGAAAACAAATGACCCAAACAGGAAAATGTACAGTAGTGAGACAACAGCTGAAAACTACACAGTAAGGAAAGACAACAGCACAAGAGAAAAGAAACAACAGGCAAAGTGGAGCATGTGGGAAATCAATGCAGATTTTGCTTATTTCTCCAAATAGAATACGGGCTGAAAAGTCAGGCATGATTTTTACTGTACTTTACAGTACAGTGGGAGGTAATGTGTACAACTATGAAGAACATAACAGGGAAGTACAAGAAGAGTAGGGCAACTAGTGTGGGTTTAAAGCAACACACAAAAGTAGCCAGTTACAGTGGCGGCCATGGAGAGACAAAAGGTCCCCAGGAACTGGTCAGCAGTGGAGTGAAGCCTCGGGCACACTCAGAGACGCTGCCCCTAGCATGCCACTACAAGGGCCGTTTATTTGGTTTGGTTTTCTCTAGAGAATAATGATGTACAAATGAAACAATGCCAGACAGATAGGCTTGAATGAGATCTAATCAATGAATCATCACATATGAAATCTCAGCAAAGAGCACAATTTAAGGTGGTGCTCGATGACCTGGGGCCTTGCGACCCCTCTGGAGGTCTCCACAGCCTCGAAATGGGCACTGGAACAACCATGGACACCAACTGCTCTGCCCAGTTATCAGCTGTCCCACCCCACCTGCCTTTCCTTTTCCTTCTTCACCACCGTCACTCCTGCCGACCCTGCCAATCTTACTTTTCTCTGAACTTGTACCTCCCCCGTGGCTTCTCTTCTCCCTAACTGACCAGATAATTACATACAGGAAGTCCAGTACTGAAAAAATTCAGTCACTCCTGTAACCATGAGGAAATTTTTTTTTTTTGGTCCTGGGGATCGAACTCGGGACCTTGCACTTGGTGAGGCAGGTGACAGAACCACTAAGCTAAATCCCTAGCCCAGGAAATTTTTATTATTGTTTTCTTTCCCAAAGGCTGAAGATTCAGGCTAAGCTTTTCTTGCTGTGGGAGTGTGGGAAAGAATGGGAGGTGGCAGAGTGAGAGAGAGAACAAATGGATAAAGACAATCTAGGCCACCTCATAAAGGGATACCTCAGGACGTAAGAAAGGTCCTGGGAACCTTCAGTGGAGTGAGGACACAGGAATCCCAGAGCTGAGCTGAGACCAGATCTGCACAATGGGAGACCAAAAGCAACCACAAGACCCCAGCACAGGTCCCCATCTTGAGCTACAGCTAGAAGAGTCAGAGGACCTGGAGAAACACCTGCCAGTCCTCCTTCCACCTGAGAAGCCCAAGCCTGAACCAACGATCACAGGCCGTGCACCAGACTGAGAGCAGGCCCGCTCCTCACTACTTAGGGCCACCAGGAACCACTGCCTAAGGAGCATCCATTCCACATGAGAGCAGAGGCAGTCACATTAAACCCACACGCAGTGGCCAAACTCTGGGACTCCGCTTCTGATAAATTGAGTGCCAAAACAACTCACTGGACAGCATGCGAGAATAAGACCTACAAAAATAAAATTTTACTGCTGTCAAAGGCATTTTAATCCTGCAAAAACACAATAAGCCGTTATATGACAGTGGTCATTACATAAGCTCAGTGTAACCCACTAGTAGAGCGTAGAAGCGAAAGTCAAAAGAAACCACTTACTTTTCTATTAAGTTGTTGTAAGCTATCACACTATTCTTCAGGTAAGGCTGTGGAGTCACATTACTACCAAAGGCATATTTAAAATGGCCATCTCGTAACCGATAAGCTTTCCTTCTCGACACAACGGAAGTCAGTATATCTTTAAGGTGATTCTGTAAAAACAAAAGAAATAGCACAACCTCTTCAAGAACAAATCATAAATCTTCCATTAACCAAAATCTGTCTGTTGCATTTAGATGGAAATGTCGGACACGCTAGCACATGTAAGAACCACAAGAACATTAATGAAAGACCTACAGAGCCTTCCAGAGCATGGGGTACAGGAAAGACGGAATGCTGAGTGTTATTTACTTCTCTTTATAAATGGGCTTGCTCTATGTAAAATTTATTTTAAAAGTTTTTATGCCTCTAAGCCAACTCCTCTCTCAAAAGTGAAGTACTAAGCAATTTATTTTTAAAAAGAGGCAAACTACCTTGAAACTTGGCTTAAAATGAGATAAAATGTTTTAAGATCTGGTATTTACTGGTTATCAAAATCCCTGCATGAAAAGAACATAAAGGAGATATACAGGAAATAAACACAGAAGAATTAGTTTTAATTTCCCTTTAACCTGTCAAGAGCAAATTATATAAGAGAAGGTTAGAGAATGTCTGGGAAAAGAGAACTGACCGGCCCTACAGGTATGAGTAGGGAAGGCAGGATAAGATAGGTTATTTCAGTTATTCCATTAAGACCATCTGTCAAGACAGTACTGTGCAATTTAATACTAGTTTTCATACAGAATTCATCTAATGTTTGTAACTTCTGGAGATTGCTATTACTGTTTTTGACATGTACATAAGGAAAATGATGCCCAGAGAATTGAAAGGAATTACCTACTATTACCCACTATTGTCAGGTTAATGAAATGTGAACTCTGTGAAATGACTAAATGAATGTATAAATGCAACAGTGTGCTGAGACAAGAATCCCACGTTCAGGCGCTAAGTATACTGTTCTTTAAATGCTGTAACTCAGCAAAAACAAGTGACTTGAGTCATTAAGATTCCCAACCCCATTTCTTTCCTTTAAAAAGTTTCCCTTGTTGACAACCCAAATACCAGACTGAGCAGAAGTGTGAAGCCACCAGCAATCTTTCTGAAAGCTTAGTCTACTGACTGAAGGCAGTGCTTTAGAATGCGATAAGATTTTCCCCTCAAAAGAAAACAAATTCAGTGGTGACAACTCTGTAAAACCAGACTGTCACTTTGGTTCTTTCCTGGCAACATCAACTTTACACAACACACAAGCCTGTCACATTCCATATGTAAAGCTGTTTCTGCCAAGAGAAAACCAACCTCCACCGCATACACCACAGCTGACACGGCCTCCTCGGTCACGTTGTCCAGCCCGTGCTCGTAGGCGGTCACTATCATCCGCCCCTCCAGCTGACCTCGAGTGGGGAGCATCATTGTGTGGGAACACAGCTTCAAGTCATCGTCATCCTGGGGATCCTTGGCCACAAACTGCTGAGCTCCAGAGAGGGGATTCTGAGGCTGGAATCTATGCTGTGAATCAAAAAATAAAAAACTTTTCAGAATCATTCACTGCAGTTTTACTTATTACTGTTAAGTAATAAGATACAAAAAAAGTAATCCACATGCTGGGCTGGAGATCCTGTAAGTTAATGCCACTAAAACTATACAATATGGGGAAAAAATATTAAAAGTTAAAAGGGTAACTCATTCGCCAAAAAGAAAACAAAACAAAAAATCACATCCATTGTACGGTAATAATGAAGACATGAATTAAAGGGAATAACATATGTATTCACAGTTTATTCGATTAATACCTAAGTGCTCACAAGATGTATGTATGCCCCTATGCTCAAAGTAACAGAGAAGCTGGGTATGGTCACAGTCCTATAATCCCAGCACTCGGAGGCTGAGGCAGGAAGATCACCAAGAGTCTGAGGCCAGCCTGGGCTACATAGTGAATTCTAGGCCAGCCTGAACTACAAGGTGAGAGCCTGTCTCAAAACAAACAAAAACAACAAAAAAGAGCAAAGAAAATAACAGGAAAAGATACACAATTATATTCAAAATATCAGGCAATTTAAGTATATGCATAAATTCTCAGTGCTAAAAAATAAAAACATAGTTAATGCTTCAATCAAGACTTTTAAATTTAAAAACCTAGCTAACGAATATGATAAATCTGGTAACAAATGATCCATGATAATACTGCAACATGTTTTAATTATGTAGTTACAGTTATTTTCTACTTAGAATTCTCAACACAGAACCTACCTATGACATACTTATTACACTATCTAAAATCTTTTGCATTTATAAAATTGCAGCTTTCCTCAGGAAACTCTTTTTTTTTTTCCTTCTGGTACTGGGGGTTGAACTCAGAACCTTGTGCTTGCCAGGCAGGCATGGCACCACTGCGATACATCCTTGGCCCCTATTTCTTTTTTCTTTTCTGATACCAGGGATTGAAATTGCGCTTGCCAGGCAGGCCCAGCTCCACAGAGCTACACCCCCAGCATTCCTCTGGAAACTCTGATGGCCCATTCATGTCTCCATCATCACTAGGAGATACGCTCCTGGTACTTTGGGTTAAACCCAACAAAAGATTTTGTAGAAACCAGGCACCATGTCACACTCCTGTATCCCAGCTACTCAGGAGACTAAGGCAAACGGATCACAAGTCTGCGGCCAGCCTGTTTAATTTAGAGACCTGATCACACAATTAAAAAAATTTTTAAAAAGGCTGAGGATGTAGCTCTTGGGTTTGATGCCCAGTACAAGGAAACAAATTTTTTTTTTCATAAAGATAGTTTGTCCCTATTTGCTTATATTATAAAAAACAATACAGGGCCAGTGATTTAGCTCAGTGGCGCCATGCCTGCCTGGCAAGCACAGGTACTGTGTTCAATCCCAGGCACCAAAAAACATCACCAGGGATTTAGCTCAGTGGTTCCACCACCAGCCTCACAAGTGCAAGGTCCTGAGTTTGATCCCTGGTACCAAAAAAAAAAAAAAACACAATAGCAAAAAATATAGTACTCAGAATAAGAAAATCTAGACCCAGAAGAAAAGAATTAAGATGTGTTATGTATTGTACCAACCCTCTATGATGAATGTAATCATTATGTACCGCATACTTGCACTAATAAAAAATAAAAAAACTTGTTACCTTTCAATTTTCCAAGTATAAAACTGTATTTTATATTGAACATGTGTTTTTAAACCAGGGATGTCTTTCTGGAAATGCTGAGACCCTACAGACTGAATAATATTACTGATATAAAACACAGACTAAAGCTAGAAAGAAATAAATGTTGGCATTAGTCAATAAAGGTATCGATATCCAGTCAAGCCTTAAAAAGGGTACTTTTGGAAAACTTCTTTCCCTAAATTCTGAAAAACTCCAGTTATTCTAAAATGTTTACCAATTTTGAATCCAAAGGCCCACACTGTCCCAAAAGATCCAGGGCCCAGGTTGGCATCATCAGGAGCCTCAGACCATTACTCTTGGAAAAGATGCCTTCAATTTGAGAAACACTCAACCAAGAAAAATAATTTAAAAGGAGAAATAAAAAATAGACATAGATTTGAATCACTGAAAACCAAGTGCTAATGATAACATATTAATATTTAAGTAGTGGGCCGGGGATTTAGCTCAGTGGTGCCGCCACCTGCCTCTAAAGCTGAAGGTCCTGAGTTTGGTCCCCAGCAGCAAATAAACAAACAAACAAAGCAGTAAGAAGCAAAAAAAAAAAAAAAGAAACAAAATTTTACACATTCCAACTCACAGCCTTTAAGGCTCCTTCTCCCTAAACTCTACCCTTTTGTTCCAACTCTACTACTAGTATTCTAATATATATTCAAAAGGTAAAGCTAGTTCATCACATTACCCTTAAACCAATGGTTACCAAGAACTATTGAGGAAGAACCTACATCAAATTTCTGACGAACAGAAGAAAGCTTTTTCTTGCCCTTAGGTTTTCCAGGTTTAGCTGCAGAGCCCCCCGTCCAGGGCAAAGATCCAGCACCTTCTACAAGAGATAAAAACAGTTACCATAAGTGGAAACAATGACAATTGATAGCTGCTAAGTTTGTTTTCATCTGGAACTAAAAAGCATGCAATGCTCAAGTAATGAAAATAAATGATTGCTCAAATTCAGATCTCTTTTTCTCCACAAAATTATAAATTCCTTCATGCCACTTCGTTCTACCTGTAACCAAAATTATTTAGGAAGACAAATTTGTTTTTTACATTTTAAATTAACATTTGTTGAGTGTTCTGTTTCTCAGCAGTACTATGAAAGCAGGAGACTGCTCAAGCCGATAGTGAACTGAGCACCTGAGCACAAGTATCTCCTCTCTTCTAAGACTCTAGTTAAAATGAGAGCAGAGAAAGGCAAGTGGCACATATCCACAGCAGAGACAAAACGGATGAGATGCCCAGTTTCCAGAATGGCCTCACACGGTGCTGCCTCACAAAACTGGCACATGGAGGCTACAACCCTAGAAAGGCGAAAAGGTAGCAAATGAAGCCGAAGCCCAGATGCAACCCACAAGAGTCTGGATGTGGAGACTATGAGTACAGTGGAAACCAGGGGGAATCCATAAGGCAAAAAGTGATTATTCATGGCAGGTTTATATTTAAAATCATCCACACAAATACCTTCCCTCATCCCAGGGGCTGGACTCAGTACAAAATAAAAACAAGGGGACCCTGGATCACAAATGAAGAATTTCAAGAGAGATGGTAAAGCACTAAACCAAGTGCAGGGCCCTCTGCACAACTACAGTGCACAACCCCATGGAGGCAGCCCGCTCACTCACATGCATGCACAGAAAGACACAGGGGGACCTGATGCGGGGGGCAGAGGCACAACTCTTCCCCAGTCTTGCCGAATGAAGTTTCTGGACTTACTAAGGTAGCTGGTAAGGATGATGGGACCCTGTGGCAAAACTCTCTGCATGCTGGTGTTTGGGGATCCCCTGTGTTGATGGCTGGCTTCCTGTCAGCTCATAAAGCCGTTTCTGTGCAGTCTTACACTACATTCTTAAATTGACAAGGACAGAAACAAATCACCATACATCTGACCATATTCAGTAATATGATGCCTTAGTCTGCCTTTCCTACTACTTCCAAAAACCCGAGGCAGGCTAACTTTACAAAGAAAAGGGGCTTGTTTAGTTCACAGTTCTGGAGATTTCAGGGCATGGTGCCTGCATCTCTTAGCTCCAAAGAGAACCTCATGGCAGACAGAGGACACACACGGGAGGGAAAAATACCATGGCCAGGTGAAAAGGCAGAAAGTGACTTGGGGAAGACCGAGGCTCACTTTTGTAAGTCACTCTCTGACAAGCTCAGGGGTCCCGTGAGTGCTTCCTTAATCCTTCTAAAAGCAACTCCCCAGTGACCTACCACCATGTGCACATTTCAAAGATTCCACAACCTCACCACCACTACACTGAGAAACAAGCCACCACCATGGGAGCCCCGGTAGAAAAACCACATCCAAATGATAGACCAGGATAAGAAAAACCAAGTCAACGAAACAAATTATAGACTTCCAGAGAGGGAATACAAAAAGACTGACAAATTCCTATTTGGTATCTTCAGAAAAGGTTGAGAAGATATGTATTCACAGAACAAGAGAATGCCGTAAGAATGGCTAGTTTAAAGAACGTACTAAATGGCCTAAAAGAACTAAGGGATTCTCAAAGAATACAGGGCAACAAGGCAAAGAGATGTCTAATTTGGCACAGCCTGATCTCACTTGGTAAGGTCGGCCAATCTTCAATGATTCCTAAGAAATCGACACCAGATAAAAGAAGTGGGTATCAGGTGACAAGAAAATGAAATGAATTTGTGGAGGATTATGCAAATGAGTAGGTCTGTGAACCAGAGCTCACAGGCTGCTGCTGCTGAGGGGACAACTGGGGGACACTTGGCAGAAGACTGGTCTCCCAGCAACCTGCTGGATCCAACAGTTCCCTGTGTTTTGACACACCTTCAGGCAAGTTTCTGGGTTTTTGTTTTATCTTGTTTTTCAGCCAACTTTGTTTCACTAACCCTAAAGACACACCACCCTGCAGAGTTGTGAGGATTAAAGAGAACATGTAAGAATGCAAGAGGTCTAACATGCTGCAGTCACTCAATAAATAGTATTACTAAGATCAACTTTTCTGGCTAGCTTAGAAAAATAGAAAACAAAAACCAACTCATCCACAATTGTTAAGTACAAAAACTACATTTTACTTTTAATAGAAATTATCTTTGTTGCTAACAAATATTAATTTTATTTTTGCAGAAATAAGTACTGAGTGTCCAATGGAGAAATACATTCTTAGGTTCCAAATGGGGTATTTCTTATTTGTAAAAAACCAGTAATACACACTGAAGAATATCAAGTTTTTATTTAATTAAAATCATCTACCTATACTAATACCACTTCCTATCTACTTGGCTTTTTTTTTTCTTTTCTTTTCAAAGTATATTTTTACACTTTTTTTAACCTGCTTTTCCATGAAGTCATAGGGTAGATCTAACTGTAATTATTATATAAATGTGAAAGCTAGGACACTCCTAAGTATATAAAGCTAGTGTCAAAACCTAAACTTTAACCCATGTCTCTTGACTCCTATCAACCAGTTTCTATTTCTGATCATTTCATTCACCTTCTAGGTGTTTGGCACTTTACAACATACCTACCTAACAAGTAAGAGATAATCCTTACAATGTTGGCTTTTCTACTCAAATTAATTTTATACAACAAAATAGGTTTATCCACAATCCAACTTTGGCTATAAAGGAGGTATGGCCAAAGCCCACCTCTAATTATCTAAGCAGAACATTAGGAATCTGTCACAGTATGAGACTGTACAGACAGCATGGTGAAGGGTAAGGGAGCAGCCACTACTCTAGTACCAACTGCCACAAACACCCGCTGCCACTCTGCTTTACATCACTAGCAACTTCTCTGAGTAGAGGAACGACGGGTTGAACCTTATGTGAATCTTTATGATACAACAGAAGTTAGCTAGAACCACACAGAGGGACAAAATACTCAGCATTTGATAAAACATGGGATTTTAATACAAAATAATCAGAATTACCCTTGGCACTTGGGAAAAAACAAAAACAAACAAAAAAACTTAACCTACATACACGCAAGAGGTGCCTATGAATCCAAGCTTTTAACGAAGTCCAGGGAAATTTTTATCAAGAGAGAAGCTTTCAATGTACCTGATTGTTGTTGCCTGATTAAAATTAAGATGGCTTCAATCTACCACTTAGCTCCAAAAAATTAAGGAGTCAGCATTTCTAACTATAACTCTTTAGGACAACGTGACAAGCTTAGTTTTCCCCAAGCTCCTGTTTGTGCTGAAAGTACCTTACTTACAGTACAAATTGAAGTCTAGCTTTTCAATATACAGTGTGCTTTCCCTACCACGTAATTCATCTTCCCTACTATCAAGTACACTCTTTATCCCCTCCCACCTTCTTCCTCGCTCTTAACTTTAAAGTTCTCTAAAATTTAGGTGAAATGTTACATCATAAAGACCAAAATAAAATAATGTAAGTATAGGAAAGTCACCTGCTTTTTTTTTGGTACCGGATATCGAACTCGGGTCCTTGCGCTTACGAGGCAGGTGGCAGAACCACTAAGCTAAATCCCCGACAGAAAGTCACCTGCTTTAAAATAGTTCCGTAAAAGAATCTATATCTGTACAACAGTGACACACCACGAGTATTTCCATTCCCTTACCTGGTGTAGAAACCAAAATCTGACAACGCGTGAGAATGGCCAGGAGGAAATCATTGTGAGAATGCACTGAAAAGAGGAGGTTGTCAAAAGTCAAATACAAAACATTTTCAACGTAAGAAAACCTCTACTGTAGTCTAGCTTGAAAGGATTTTTGTAACATTCCTCACTCTGCTATCCTTTATATTTTATTTTAAATACCCACATTAAAATGACCTTACATCATTACAACTAAAATTTTCAAAAATTTTAATTTTTTGAACCTGGGAAAATTTGAGAACAGTAAGCTAACTCCCCAGACAATTATTTTACCATTATCCTGTGTGAGAAGTCTGTGAGCTTCCAGGTCAAACTCTTCCTTGCTGATCTTCTGTTTAAACCATAACTTTAAGTTAGCCCAGTACCTGCAGACACAGAAACAGAATACTAAAAACCACAGATTTTGCTTCTTCTCCAAGTTCACTTCACCTGCTTCAATTCCCCGGGAAGGAAATTTGACATGCTCTAGAATCACTGGCTGAATTATGTCTCTCCCTAAATTAATGTGTGGAAGCCCCAAGTGACCCCAATCCCTTAGAATGTGATGATAGTCAGAGATAGGGCCTACTAATAGGTAAGGAAATTAAAATGAGGTCCCAGGCAGGGGCAATGATCCAGAATGGCTGGTGTACTTGTAAGAGATTGGGACATGGACAAACTCCCAAAACAGGCAGCGAGGCAGCCAGGATAACACACAAGAAAGCTGACATCCGTAGGAGAGGCCTCAGAAGAAATCAAACCCTGGACTTTCAGCTTCTGGAACTACTTCAAAACAAACTTCTGCTGTTTAAACCACCCAGTCTGTGGTATTTTGTCACAGCAAGCCCCATAAACTAGTACACCTAGGAATCAGAATACCAGCAAACAAACAAAGTTTTCCCTACAAAGGGACTGACAGATCGCCCCAGCATTGGACTTGTGATCCACTCAGCTGCACCGTCTTCTTAGTGACACGTTTCTGAAAGAGTCCTTACCCTCTGGAATCTGGCACCACAGACTTACACTTTAAAATGTGGATGTGTTGTACAAGAAGGGGAGTGGCCATCATACTTATTCTGGATAATGTCATTCCTTTTAGATGAATTTAAGTTTTAATCTAACTGCCTCAAAAATGGGTTTCTAAATATCTTTCCACAAAGACAAGACTCAAGGCTATGAGAAACCTAGTGATTTTAAAAATGAAAACCAGCACTTAAAAGTTTCCAAGTAACTTGTAGAAAAAAAAATTTAACCTTTCATAGCTTAGAAACATTGTAAAAAACAGGAGTAAAATATATTTTTCACATCCACAACCTGTTTTGTTCACGTTTAAGGAAACCTTCATGGAACAGGATTACAAATGACTCTAAGTCTTATTTCAGCTCAGGCTTATCTTGCATTCTAACACTTCTTTTGAGTTCCAATGGAAGAAAATAAAAGAATTCCCAAACAAGATGGTTTAACACTGCCACTTATACCCACAGAAGGGTTTCTCCCATATGTGGATGAGCAACAAGTTATCTTGTTACGCACCTATGTAAGTATCTGTGCATGCAATTAGATGCCAAGTTTTAGGTTTATGTGCATTTTAAAACCCAGAGCTTTTACAGAGAAAGTGGCACAAGATCCAACAAACTACCATTTCACTCAACAGCAAAATACGTTTAGCTCCAGAACTCAGCAGCCTGTCACCTACTATGCACACACTCACAAGTCAATACGTCACCAGTAATTTCAAAACAGTAGACACTTTTGTGCTATTTTTTTTTTTTTTTAAGAGATGGGGTCTTGCTGTGTTGCCCAGGCTGTTCTTGACCTCTGGGACTCAAGCAATGCTCCTGCCTCAGCCCTCGGACTGGCTGGTTATCCTTTTCAAGAAAAAACAAACGGGAATAACAATGAAATGAGTCAAATAAATCTCCATAGAAAACCGATGGTCTTTTTTTAGTCCACCGTATCCAACAAAGATCCTAACAGAATAACGTGACTACCTAAAAGCCCTATGCAGTTTTACAGGAAAGACATACATAGAACCCTATCTGGCCTGAGTGAACTTGTTCCAGGACTAAGTCAAGGCTGTACCAGGAAGCTCTGCCAGCAAGGTACTGTCTGTCTACTCCACGACAAACGTTCTAGCCCAGCTAGAACTGCTATCAAGAGTTGAAGACTTGCACCCCAGTCCTGGTTCCCATATAAATTCACAGCATAAGACAGACAAATGTCTGTCTGCTTCCCTTCGAAATACCAGAAACAGAGTCAGTCAGCCTCTAGGAAGGTAAAGATGATGATGAATGTCAATAGGTTGGACCAGGAAGCAGTTGAGGTACCTGGAGAAAATTAACTGATCTATAACTAAGTCCTTAAAATATTAGGCATCTATTTGAACATAAACTCTACCGGGTATTATACAAAGCGAGTTTGCTAGCAAAGTCCACGTGCTTGTGGATGCTGACACAAGCAACAATCTGACCTAAGCAGACACAAAGGACCTTTGGGTGACTAGATAAACACTAATGGTTCACATGCAGGCTCTTTGCACAACCTTATGTTTTATGCTTATGGAGAAATGAATGTATAGCATCATTACAGATTGCTTAACCACGAGGCACTTTTTAGTGAACAGTTTAGCAAACAGAAGGGGAAGCAGGTCAATGAAAGAATGGAAACACAAATGCAGAACAATATAGTACTGCACCACTAGCTGTTCCTAGCAAGACACCTTCTGATTACATTTTTACTGGAGATTCATGCTACAGATAGATGCACATCCATCCATATTTGACCAACATCAGATATTCAGCTTTGTCCTTTAGAAACATAATAGGGAATACTAACTTCAAAAATATGCCAGGTAGCTCTGAACTCACTGTTAGTAGTCAAGTGTGGGATCATGGGGGGCAAGGTTGTATTTAGTCAGGGTTAAAATCAAACACAAGCCATGTCCCTCAAATTCGGTATAGTATGAAACCATTCACTTTCAAATTATTTCTAAGCATTCTAGATGGAAGACAGTGAAAGTGTAAGTCAGTATTACAAAAGTAAAAGCTTATAGTTGTTTTAAAGCTGTCAAGTATACCTTTTAAAATAAGCATTTTTAATAAAGAATGGACGGTAAACAGATATTAAAATGTAACTTTAAGCAGGCCACTATATCTTTGGAAGTCACCCAATGTTTACAAAAAACTAAATAATTCCGCTGCTAAATTAATAGATTAGATTTTAATCCCAGTCTTTGTCTAAATCTGATTCTTTTGATACGATGAAAAGGACTGAACTGCCACCCCAAATTATCACATGGAGGAAAAAACTGAAAATCACTTAAGACACCCAGGCTAAAAAACTTCAATCCAATGGCTGAAAAGAATAAATAAATTTGGAGAAGTATCCCCAAATTCCTTGTACCATCATTGGAAGCCATCTACTGGGTAATGAAAATGGAGAAAGTACCATAGAAGTCATCTGGCAGGAACTCCACAAGGAACAATAATTTTAAATTTTAAGACGTGCTCCCTAGATTAGGGGCCGGACGTGTCGAGACAGGATCTCCCCATGTAGTTTAAACTGGTTTTGAACGCATTATATTGCCCACGATGGCCTCGAACTCACGTAGATCCTCATGCCTCAGCTTCCTAAAAGCTGGGATTGTAGGAGTGCGCCACCACGCCCAACCGCCTCCTAGCTTTTTGAAAAATAAACGCCGAAATTTCCGACTCCCTGTATGTGGAGGGTCCTTCGGCGGTCGGTATTCCCTGGGCCCGCCCCGGCCCACTGAGCGCTGGGTCCCTGCGGTGACCCGGGTTGGGGCAGGCGCGAGGGTGACGTCTGAAGAGTGAATCAGCCGCGCCCGGCCCCGCGTCCTCGGC